CTCTCTCTCGGGGAAAAGAAGCCCGGCGCTGCAGCTCCGGCTGCCAATAGAAGAAAGAGCTGGTCTTTCCGTTCCCTTTTTGCAAGCCTTGAAGCTCCCTGGACAAATTTAGCTGGTGGACATGACAGGGATTTCCCTCATACTTCCTGAGACTACAGTGGGTCATAATTTATGGTTGGGAGGATGCTTAAATTAACCACGTGCAGGAAGGAACAGGGCCGTGAAAAGGCCAGGGACTTTTCTGTGAGATGTAGCCCGTGGCCCAGAGCTATCTCAGAAGCACGTTTCAGCTGGTTATTGGAGTGTCAAGAATAAGATCATTTTATCTAGGGGGTGACACGTTGTTTGAATTTCCTTCAGAGATGAAAGAGCTGGCAGTTTTGTGGCAAAGAGCGCATTATTTAGGAGGGCTGCATTTGGGACCAAAACTGCTTTGACATGGAACAGACTGCCCCTCTCTGCCCCATTGTCAGTGATTTCCAGTTAGAATGTAACTGAAGTGCCTTGTCTGTTTTCTGTGTCCGCTGACTTGTTGATGAGTAGCACTATCGCCACCTGCTGGTAGAGGAACTTCAAGAAATAGCAATTTTTGTGGTTTCCTAACGTGACTCAGAACTAAGAAGGTGGAAGGTGTGGGGCCGGCCCGGTGGCGCACTGGATAGTGTGCCGCTTGGGAAGCGTGGTGGCGCTCCCGTCCGAGGGTTCGGATCCCACATACAGACCGGTTCCCGCTCACTGGCTGAGCGAGGCGCGGGAGCAACACCGAGGCTTGCGATCCCGTTGCCGGTCCCCGGTCCGGTACGGGGGCAACACTGAGGGTTGAACTTCAAGAAATAGCAATTTTTGTGGTTTCCTAACGTGACTCAGAACTAAGAAGGTGGCAGTTAACGGATTGGTGTGGGACTTGGGTTTCAGCTCGACAAATGTCCTGCTGAGATTCAGTTGCTAGAACTCAGCTGTTCTGCTCTCACAGGCCGCTTGAATGCTTTGCAAATCCAGCTATCCAAATTCTTGCCCTGCTCGTGGATGAAAAAGGGGGTCTGTTTTATTTTGAGAAACAAGCCAGTCAGAGGCAGACAGGGCCACCTCCTCACCCACCTACACGGATGGTTCAGAAACTTCCCCGCTGAGTAACGAGCAGAAAGAAGAATGCAGCAATCTTGCTTGAACAGTGCGGACTGTGACCAGCATGCTGTGGTTTCTGCCTGTTTGGGACAGGGGTGCTGTGAGCGCCCTGCAAGACCCAGGAAAGCCCCACCCCCAGCTCCAAATTATCCAGCCCACAGTGTCAGTAGTGTCGAGGTTGACAAGCCCAGCCTAGGGCGTCCTGGGGGTAGTGAGAAGAGAGCGAATCTCATGTAGATAAATTCCAGGAGGCTGAGATGTTGGAGGTGAGGGTGGAGTTTCTTTGCTGAGTTTCTGGTGACTCTTCGGCAGCAGGATGATAAAGTGGCCAAGAGCTCAGCACTTCCTGCGCACTGTAGGGCAGCTCCTCACGGTGACTTAGTGGCGACTCAAAGTGCAGGTCCTTCTGAGAGGAGACTGGGGCCAGCTCTTCACCCCACGAAGATCAGGCGCTCAGGCTCACCATGTCTTGCTTTAAGTTATTTCTGCATCTTATAGTTTCTGATTTTGCCACTATAATTACTCTGTCACCATTTAAACTACATTTAAGGTTACGCTTCAGTTACTTTACCCAAGTATATTCCCAGTCAACAAGATTGCTGGTTTTGCATTTATACTCAGCAATGTTCTTAAATTGAGTCCCTGCTGTATGCTGGGCACTGTGTCCTAAAATTAATGAGGCCAGTTCTAGCTGTCATTTAACAGAACCTTGAGCACAGTGCTCAGCACACGGCAGGGACTCAGTTAATGTTGGCTCAATGAGAATCTGAATTCCTAGGCCCGGTCCCTCCT